GAATATTGGCTGGAGAGAAAGGTCTGGCACATTGGACTCTGATCAGCCAGCTAATTGAATCAAGCTTGGGGGTCAAAAGATTACTGCAAAAGTGTCTGTGGCTTTGAAGAAAGGTAACACAGTAAAATTGTATTCAATAGCAATAGCCATATCACCATTAATCACATAAGTTACATATCTTAAACCTTTTACTAAAAATAAAAATTTTTACATTTTATTACAAAACTACAATGCACAGTGATCTGTATACTGTGCAATCCTTATTTTTCCACTATCCTACAAAAGTCCCCACATGGGTAAAAGCATCAATATTTGCTTGCAATTATGTGTAAAATTATAGTACGTGAGCATGTAATTCTCAAAAAATAAGTTTCTTTAATCAACAAGACCACTGGACCCTCAAAAACTTTAAATCCCATTCCAGTATTCGCAATAGCATTCTGATCCACTGCACCTGTGCTCAAGACACGGTAACTGTACAAACTGTTACGTGCAATTGTAACATATTTCATAAACAAAGAACAGTGAGGTTTTCGCATTGTATCTCATATTTTCATGTAGTATGTACACTCCTAAGGTTGAACCCAAGGCAAGTGTTTAAATACATATTGGAGATTTACTTGCCCAAGGATTTGCAAGTCTCTGAAGCCAGTTTTGTGATGCAGACATTTCTTCCAGGCATCACAACCATGTCCACACAGAAGCCCATGGTAGTTATAAGAAGGAACAATCCATCCACCAGTGTCTATCCAAAACAAATATAATTTATGCATGTGGGGTAATTTTTTGTTCTTAGTTTGTAGCACTTTGGGTTATCTAGAGACATCATAGCTGATGAAGTTTGTTTTGAGGCTTTGTTTTTCTGACTGAGACCTCAGACCCTGCCATCTGATAAGCGATGAATAATTCCTCTGACAGCTTATTTTAGCATAAATAAGAATGATACAATACTTCATGTGTTAAAAGAAAACTAGAATGCCACCTGCTGGCTGATTAGAAAACTATATACTATTAATACATTTTTTTTTTTATATTTACTTGACTAAAATAAATAAATACCTTTTTAAAAGATATTTTGTTATGCCTAATCATGCAAAATGTGTACATTACCTTCCTGCATTTCCTCATGTCATTTAATGTAGAGGTGCATGCATGCAAGGTCAGATACCTTGTAGAGTTTCCTGGGAACCTTAAAGCCTGGTGAGCTCTAATATACAGATTAATTTCCTAAATATCCATTTGTCGTTTTCCACATTTGTTACCTCACTATTCGTCAGTCATATGGTCTATCAAATGGATTTACCAACAACCGTAACAGGTTGATCAATAAGGACAAAGCATGACCTCTGTAACCAAAGCCATGCAGAGACCTCTAGATGGCTATCATGCATAACTGGCTATGGAAAAAAAATTAAATAAACACAGGCTTGCTATAGGTACAGTCCCAGATTATGCTTTCTGTGTTTCTAAAATGGTTTTGAGGAATACCACATGTAAAATGTACCTTTGTTTAGGTAGACATGGAAGGATTGAATATGTCTTCATATGACTATGTGAGAGCCATGTGGGGGAAATATTTGCACCTGCAATAATCTAAAGTTACATTTTGGATCTTCCATTTTACACAAAAGTTGAAAGTTCTTCTTCTAAAGCAGCAGACATGTTACACCATGATCTAGAAAGGACAGGGCCTTGAAATCTGTTGATGTGATACAGCTCATTAGTATACACACCATCCACAAGTGAAAAATACGTTTTAGAAGGACGAATCCTTCAAACCTGGCTTCAAATAAAGTTTGGAAACACACATGAAATGAAAATTTGAAAGTATTTGATATGGGAGAACTCAGAAGCAAATCTTATTTGCTGTAATAAATGTCTACTATACACTGAACAATGCAGTCTACTGTGCAGTCTTCACAAAATGTACCAAAATTATTTTATCCTTGCTTTAAAAAGTTGAGATCAAAGCCCAGAATTATAAAGAATTCATCTGCATGAGGTCTCCTGTGGACAGGAGGTTAAGCATCTACATTACTTCCAAAAGATTCTTTGCAGACTTGACAAGTCCTATGAGGAAAAGCAGGTGAAATGCAGACTATACCCTTTGACATGATTTACACTGTGGGAAGAGAAACAGGCTGGCAGCTTTTCTTAATTATATTTTGGAACAAGAATTTGACACATTTATACTCAGCATTAAGATGCACGCATAGTAATAAATCTCAATGACAATTATTTCGAAAATCAATCCATTACTTTGAACAAATACATTTTATCTCAAGTCTCTTAGGCTTCCAGTTAATATGAATCTTCTTTGTATATTAAAATACTATCACAGATGGTATACATTTACATTTTCAATAGCTTCAAAGATCAAAAATACTAAGGGGCTTATTTATAAAGGTAGAAATTACCATTTTATTGTCCCAATGAGGAAACACATTGAAAGCTTTCTATCAATGACATAAATACTGACATAAGGGTTCCAATGTGTTTTCTGCTTTAGCTCTCCCCTTCCTAGGCATTGTATTTCCCCAATCACTGCCCTGTTGTGGGAGGCAGAGGCCACCAGATGGATGTGCTTGTTTGCAGAGCTGCAGAAAAGATGCAGGCTGGGTGAAAGGATGATTTTGACCTAAACTGATGTAACCTGAGCAAGTGCAGGTCAAGCATAAAAAAGCATCTCCACACCTAGCCTTTTGTAAGGATGGATGGCAAGGGTTTTAAGTGCTTCAATTAACCTATGCCTTTTAGATTTAGATCTCCTGCAATGACTGCTGGCCCCCTATTTTACAGCCTAATAAATGCCTATGCTTTGAGCATGCGGGCCAAGCAACAGGTTTAATAACCCCTCCCAACAATACATACTCTAACTCATAATTAATTAATTAAGAATTCATAATTCTTCGCTCCCCTTTCACTCCATTTAGCTGGTGAGGGTAAAGACAATACCCAGTACTTTCAGGAATGAAAGAGCATGTGACAATCACCAAGCACCAGTGTTGTCACATGTTTTCACAAGGGAAGAGTCCATATCCCCATGTAATGTATGATTGACAGACTTCTACTTTCAGCACTGAAATATAGCCGCAGGAGAATGAAATAAAGATAAGTATGTGCTGCTCGGGAGGGGGGAGTTAAAGTGAACCTGTTGCTTTACCTGGGAAAAGCATAGATTCACTTTAAACATTTAGCATACCTCATAATAGAGATGACAAATTACACATGTACAGTGCTGTGTGAAATAAGTAAATACAGGAAGGAAACGTTTATAAAAATTAGCTTCCGGCTGAGTGGTAGATAGGCATTAGATTGTCACTGGTGGGCTAGAAAGGAAAAAAATCCAGTTTTCATAGTTTTAAAAGAATGTGTTAAAGTTAGTTTAGGCTTTTTTTTTTAACTCTTCGGCCTTGAAGCATCTTCCAGCATTCATTGCTGCCACTACTATCTTGTTCAGCATTAGGACTAATCATTCAACCAAGCCTCTCTTTACAGATTTCTCTGCAGGAGAGAAAAGTAGCATTGTATGTAAGAAGAGAATAATAATGATTGTAGATTATGGGGAAGGGTATCCCATAAGTCCAGTGTTGTAATCTCACAGCTGTCCACCTAACAATACATCAGGAAATCTGAAAAACTGAGTCAGGAGATTGTGAGCAGACATAGTCCCTAAGTGCAGCCTGATATATATACAGTATCTATGTTAAGCTTTAGAGGGTTATTCACTATGGAGCCGAAGGATCCAGCTGTAGTTTCGGCTGATCCTTCAGCTCACTTCGGCCGCCGGAGCCCTTCGGTTCAGTCGAACTGAAGAGCTACTGTACAGGCTATTCACAATAGCCCGTACAGCAGCCAAAAGCAGGCAAACGGCTCAGCTGAGCCGAAGACATATGATTCGGCTGAGCCGTAGTCTTAGCCGAAGTGGGGTGAACTGAAATGACAACAGCTGAGTGGAGCCAGTCGAGATGTCACAACTGGCTCCACCCAGCTGTTGTACAGTTGTTGTGCAGTAATGACAGATCAGCGTCCTCAAATGACACTGATCTGTCATTAAACAACAACAACTGGGCAGAGCCGACGTGACAGTTGTTTTCATTTGCCCGGGACCGTGTGACTGGGTGTCGGCCAAATGTAAGCAGTTGGGCGGAGTTAGTGGTGATGTCACCACTAGCTCCGTCCAATTGTTTATATTTTGCTGGCAACTGTCAGATTCTTCATTTTAGGGGGGACCTCACATTTTGCCCCCCACATTTTTTTGGGGTGGGGTTCCTCCTTAGTATTGAGTTGGCCCACGCTTTGCCGCTATAACAGCTTCAACTCTTCTGGGAAGGCTGTCCACAAGGTTTAAGGTTTAACAAGGGAGTGTGTCTATGTTTGACCATTCTTCCAAAAGCGCATTGTTCCCATTTGCACCACTTGTTATAATACCACTAACAGTTGACCGTGGAATATTTAGTAGCAAGCAAATTTCACAGAACACAAGAATCCAATGATTTGGAGGGGTTTCCAATACTTTTGGCAATATAGTGTATATACTGTATATATATTTATTTTTGAGGGGGGGTTTTCTTTATGGTTTTTGGCGGTCAAGGAAAAAAGCGGCAAACTCCTATGATATAAAATCTAGCTTTATTTTTAACTAAAATAAACAAACATACTATTCTTCAGCAGAAGGTGGAAACAAAAGGGGTTACCTTCAGTAAAATGCAACACAGCATATGAGTTCCAACAGAAAGTAAGCAAAAGTTAAGGTTTCAATATCTACAGTACGTTCAACATGTTAACAGTATTTTAGCAAAACTGTTCTTTTATAAAATATTCATATGAATATGTTGGCTGCTCTAGACGTTTCCTACAATTTTTTCTACAAGTTTTCATTAATCTTCAGTTCGGCTTGCCTTACCCCAAATTGCAAATCATGGGAGAAGCGCATTTTTCGAACTTCACTCATTTTTCGAACTTCACTCTTAAGTGTTTTAGTACATGTTTTCATTTACCTTCAAAACGGATATTGAACCCTGGAGCTGTCTTGGACTCATCTGTGGAAAATTCAATCCTAATACAGGACCCTTCGCTAATAAGGCCTTCAAATGGTACGGTCTCTGTTTTTACTGAATCAAAGAGAACCTTTCCATTGCTGTACACAGCCAACCTGCATGATTTGAGAAAAATATGTTTTGAGATGGATAGTTTTTACATAGATATTTGCCATTTGCTTTTCTCACTTACAGTTTGCTTTATTGTTCCTACAATATAATTTACAATCTTCATATACAAAGCAATCTTTGTATACAACATGTGTTTCAGAACAAAGAAAACATTTCTGATAGTAATAAATGATAATTAACAGCCTCTTCCGTGTTACGTATGCCAGTAATAGTTTAATAGTATTCTAAACAGCAGTGACCTGACAATACAAGACAAACATCTTGGATTTAAAAAACAATGCAATAAAGAAATAATTTTTTGTCAGCCAATGTTGTGTGCTTAACAAAACAACTTTACAACTTCTTTGCAAAAATATGAATTCCTGAGTAATTTTGTATTATCTCTATCTTATTGAGCATATGTCTGTTTCAAGCATTTACAGTCAGTGCACAATGCAAGAGATGCATCCTATTAAATTGCGTTCAGTTTTGGCACTGAAGACCTGCAATATGTTAATTGACAGGTGCCATTAAACTGGGGCAAACATTGCGCAGTAGAAATACAAGGTAAAACAAAGGTGAATATGAAGGACAAATGTTTATAGGCTCCTAGAAGTTTTAAAATGTCACCCCAAACATTTCTTGCCCTTACCCACACATTGTACTTTGTAATTTCTAAGCTTTGTCAGAAAAAAAAAAAATCACCTTAAGTCATATGTGATGAATGTGGATGCAGCCAGGCACATTTGACTAACACTAGAGTAATTAGGATTATTGGATATAATATAATGTCACCAAATTTTCAAAGTTAAATCCAGGGACACCCTGCTGAGCATGCCCACTTTTAACCACACCCATAAACCACACCCCCGTTTGTAGTTACATCCACAAAACCACACCCCTATTTTATGCCCTTAAACATAAAGAGGTCAGGAGCAAGTGTGCATGGAATACAGGGGTCATGAGTAGGTAATGTGCAATGGTCATCAGAAGGTAATGCATGGAGTACAGGGGTCATCAGAAACTACCCCCTCTTCCCAGTAAAATTCCCCAGTACAGACCCCCCCCCACCCCAATACCCACTAGTACAGATCTCACCACCAATAGAGATTCCCCCTCCTATAGACCTCTTCCCCCAATACAGACTTCTCCTTCCTACAGACCTCCTTCCCCAATACATACTTCTGCTTCCCTCCCATCTCCCCAGTGCAGCACTGCAAAAAGAAGAAAGGGGCAGTCATGACTAGGACCCAGGATTGCTTGGCACGACACCCGCCCTCCAGCACCAGACAGCCAGGGACATCCCGGGGGACCCTTGTTTACAGTGGAGAGACCCCTCAAAAAGGGGACTGTCCCCAGCAGATGGGGACCAATAGCAACGTTTTTCATTAAAAACAAAACAAAAAACAATGCAATAGGCATGAGGAAAACATTTCATTTTGGTGGTATAAAGCCATGCAGAAAAGATTACCTATTTTGTAGTAAGATGTATGAAGGGGTATGAAAAAACGCTTGTTTAGCAGTTTAAGTCTGGCACGTATGGTTTGTACTTAAGACCTGCTTTTAGTTGGTGATGCTCAGTAATCACTATTGATTTGCAGCAATCTGCAATATGTAAAACAAGCTAGCTTAATTAGCTACCCTACCTTGCAATGACAAAAGCTGAATTCTAAAACTGCATACAGAAGTGTGATAAATAGATACGGGAGTTTATGCACACTGGGTTTACATCTCACTACAAGAACAATCATTAGTATAAAATCTATTTTCTGTGTTGTGCAAATGTAAAGCAAATGTATTTTGTAAGTGGTAGCCCTTTGTTTATGACTGCACTAAAAATTATATAATTTACAAAGCATTCCATAATTATGTAAGGGCCCTTCCATAAACTGGAGTGTCATTTTTTTGAAGAAGAACTCCAGGGAATTTTTTTATAACCCTTGCTACCCCTGCACTGCAAGGCTTAAAGGAGAACTATGGGGTCAGGGCTTTTCCCCATAGTTTTCCTAAGGGTAACGGGAGGACACAAACTAGCATCCTCCTGTCACCCAAAGACGTCGCAGCCGGGACGGATCCTGACATTACTGTCTGGATCTACCCAGCTGTGTGAGTGACAGCTGGCTCTTCCTATCTACCTATCTAGAGGCAGAGCCAGCTGTACCCACCCCCTCCCCTGTCCGTTCCGCCAGTCAGCGCTGGAGGATCGGACAAGGGAGGGGGGAATCACTGCAGAGAGCCGTGAGTGACAGTCAGGCCTCTCTGGAAGGAGAGGATGTGTGTGTATGAGGGATCCTTGTTTTTATTTTTCTCAGGCTTTGCTCTGGGGAAGGAGTGCATGTGAGAAGAGAGCGTTGACCTCTCTGGCCTGCTGCCCGGGGAGGGTACATCTCCAGAGAGAAGTACAGTTCATATTTCTCAAGCCTGCTGCCTAGGGAGAGAAGCTGAACCAGAAGAAGAGTTTTCCTTAGTCAGTTGCTGGGCTCAGCTTAAAAGTTAACTACTAGACTGTGAGAGGGGCTGAAGACATACCTAAAGATAGCTGGCTTCTTAATTAAACAGTCATTTCAAACATAGAACTGCACATCTCTGTCTACAGAGAGTGTAAGCTTGATGTACACTTGGAACAAGAGGTTCGTAGGAGGTAGTCACCATTATCGTCATAAGTCCCTTCTGGGTGGAAGATTTACAAACCCAGCGACTCTACCCTAAATTCCCATTTAGTGAAGGCTTGGGATCCCCTGTTTGACTTCGGTGTAATTTCTGCAAGGTTAGCATAATCTCACATGTCTCCACCTAAAGTAGGGTTGCACATAGAATAACACAAATACTTTTTTAATTAATTTATTTTATTTTTTTAATTCTCATTTTAAAATTATGATTGTAGTTTTAGTTTAATATCTTCCCTCTTCTCCGTTGCTGCTCCACATTCCTGGCTGATGTTAAACAGCCTGTATTTCTGACCAGGAACAAATATACAGGCCGTGTCTTTAGGACCACTGGCTGTATACCTGCTCGGGGTCAGTGATTCACTAAGCTTTGAAGCTAGAGATAAGGATAATAGCCTAGGTAGCCAAGAATCTTGTAGGCTTTAAAAAAACTTATCTCAATAGTGTTGCCCTTTGAACAGTGACACCTTTACTCTTTAAAAATACAATGCTAGATTAGTAAAAAATATTCACTGTGGCCTGCTTTGTAAGAATCTTTCTGTATGCAGTCTATTAGAATCGTGACAGCACAGTCTTTGTAAGTTGTGGTAAAGTTATGGGTTAACTGTTAACTTTTTTTTTTTAGGTAGTAACAGTACAAATGTTTTACCTATTTAGGCTAGGTTCAGACCTGAGTCGGGGCCGCGCGATAGTGTGCTAGTGCAAACAGCGGTTGCCGTGTGGCCCCATTGATTTCAATGGGGTTACATCCGCGTGGCAATTGCTAAAAATAGGTACAAGTACACACGAATCGCCCAGGTGTGAACCTAGCCTTAAGCAGTCTTTTTCAGTTACCTGAAACAACTCTAATTAGTTTAAATGGCTCACTTGCCAGACATACAGCACCTGCAAGTGCAGTCCTGCTCTGCATACATCCTACAGATGAATCTGTGAATCCTACTATCAAAAACTAATATATTGTTCCATGTTTTCAACTGCATAAGGTTCTCTCTCTGACTAGAAGAATTATAGCTTTCAAATCCACAGCTGCCTACAGCAATTCAAATTAGTCCTAGACTTTCCTCTAGCTGGAAAATAAAGAGGATTTACAGTCAGAGATATGGATGGAAGGTCTTGCTGTTAGGAAGAAAGTATATATAAAAAAAAGAAATGAAGCAAAAACTTATAATTCAGCTTTGGATAGAGTAAGGGAAGGTTATAACCCCTGTCAGCTTTTGTTTTTTCCATTAGTGTCCCATTGGGGAAATTTCCCTTCACTTCCTTTCTGATAGCCACATCAGGAAAGTAAGAAGAAAGCCCTCCAAAGAGAGGGAAATCCCTGGTATCTCCATTGGAACATTTTCCATCTGTTCCTGTGCTGAAGACAACCCAAATTGTAGGATTTCCTTTCAATTTCATTGATAACAGTTACCAGGAAAAATAGACAGGGTAGCTTGGGAAAGAGGGTAACAGGGACACAGATAACAAAAAAAAGAACCCCCCCCAAAAAAACCTGACAGGTGTTCTAGTCCCTTTCCTCTCCATCCAAAACTAGTTGGGTATTGACATGCTAAAGCATGTAGAAATTGGTCACAAAATGATCTGTTCATGAATTCTTGTGTGACCAAGAAACATTTGTGGGATTGGCAGATCATATTTTCATGTCTGAACATTTTCTGATGTCTATGGACATAGGTGGAAGGTTGATTATCAATGAATACAGATCAACTTATACTCATATTGGACAGTTTTAGACAGAGCAAAGAATGGCTTAAACCCCTGTTTTTGCTTTCTGTGTCCCTTCGAGGAGTTATCCATTTGCTTCTTGCTCCTGAGAATACAACAAGAGAGGAAAGACAATTGTCAATTGAAGATTTCCCCGCACCTCTTGTTCTTGTGATGGATTTCCTATTACTTTTTGCCGTGGTGGCAATGTTTACAGCAGGGACACAGACAGCAATAAAAACCCTTCCATACTCTATCTAAAACTAAAAAAAAATATTTTGTTCTGATCTTTTGACATTTAAAGTGCAAAAAAACATACTGGCTATGCAAAGTAGAATTTCTGACAATCAAGCCTCATTTGGAACATTTTGGGACTAGTTGTCGGTCATATTATTCAAAATTTGTAGTCAAATGCATCATACTTAATATAATTAGTATAATTCAAGTTCACAGGATGAAAAAGGATCTATTTAAAATCACAGCTATACTTATTATTGAAGCGGATTTATTGTTGATCAGCAGGGAAACCATACAAGGCTAAATTATTCTAATAATTGTACCTGTCTTTTTCAGACATAATGAACTTCTCAAAATGCAAGTGCAATTTCTGTCCTCCTGGTGCATCTATTGTCCATGCACAGAAGAGATTGTTGCTGTAGTTACTGGGGAAGTTTGGGGAAAGCACTCGTCCAACTGTGGCATTTTGAGTTCTTCCTCCACATGGTGCTAAATCATAATAACAAAATAATACTTATGTTAAGAAATTAAACCTACAAAGCAAGGATATCTTAAAACAGAACTCAAGAAACACAGCTAAACCCTTTTTTTTAAATACAGTAATACCATACATGTGTGCTTACCAGTTTTGTTCTGTCTTGTCTATGTATCCAGTATATA